TTTTTTTTTTTTTTTTTTTTTTTTTTTTTTTTTTTTTTTGAGAGGGTACCAGGATTGAATTCAGGGACACTGGACTGAGCCACATCCCTAGCCCTATTTTATATTTTATTTAGAGACAGGGTCTCACTGAGTTGCTTAGTGCCTCACTTTTGCTGAGGCTGGCTTTGAACTCGTGATCCTCCTGTCTCAGCCTCCAGAGCCGCTGGGATTACAGGTGTGCACCACAGCACCCAGCATAAATGAGATTCTCATAGTTCACTTTAAGAGTTGTAGTCATTAACTATATTTGGCTCTAGTATTTCATGTGAATTGTAAAATAAATTCAGTAATTTTCCATTTTATTTTCTCTACTCTGGAATAGTTTACATAAATTGGGCATTCGATGTTCCTTGAGCAACTGGTACATATCACATGTAAAAGAGTTAGAACTTAGTAACTTTTGGGGGCAGAGCCATGTGTTTTTAACTGTGATTTCAGTATGTTCAATGGATGATGGTTCATTTAGGCATTCTATTAATGCTATTCTAGTTTTTATCATTTAAATTTTCTTAATAACTTATGCATTTCATTTCATTTATTGGCATAATATTGCATACACAATATTTACTTTTTAAGCCTTTCTTTTGTGAAGTTATGTCCTAGAATATTATTATTCTTGTAATAGTTATCCCTAACTTTCAAAAACACATAATTTAATTTGTACTTTATATATACAATCTCAATATTTAATGAGTATCTACATTTTGTCTTTCTCAACAGGAGAGGATATGCTTTCATGTCTTTCGTATTTTCTTTCCCTCATCTCTTCCTCCTCCATCTAATGTCACTATTCTTTGGAATTTTTTTTTCCAAATTGCTACTGAAAATTATTTTTACCCAGCGTGTATAATATATAACTCAATTATATAAAATTATATACTGAACATTAAAAGATGGTCACAAATATTAAAAGTTGTAATTTCAAGAATCAACCATATTGTATGTTAAAATTGAGTGGGATTATAAGTGTGGCATGCTGTCTTCACATATATGCTTATTGTCTTTTAAGACCTTGAAAAGATAGTTGAAGTACTTGACAGTGGCCCTCTGTTGGCCATGAGGCTACAGGAGGAAGTCAATCAGATTGTTGGTCAGTGTTCATCACTCTTACAGTTGATCTATAAAGATAATGATGCACTTTCAAGGAGAGCTTAGTTCAAATTCTCATAAGCAGTGCAAGTTCACTCTGAGAAATGGCAGCCCATAAGGTAAAATTACCACTGTTGAATCTATGATTTTTTACAGGAAAGGAATATGCCAGTTGGCCTGGTGAGTAACACATTTCTTTATGCTCTCAGCAAGACCAATTCTAGGGCACTGGAAAGAATTCCTGGTCAAAGATTTCATAAAAGCCATTTCTGAATTTTGTGAATTGGTTTCCTATTTAAATTGGTAATTCTTCTGCAGTTATTTAAGATTTCTATTGACTTCTCCCCAATATATACTGGTAGTAATCTAACAACTCTTCCAATCCAATTGCAACAACCAAAAGTATCTTTAGACACTGGTGAATGTCCTCTGGAAGGTACGATCACTCCTAATTGAGAACCACTGTGCCACATTAGTTATCTTTTCTTATTGACTTTATAGTTGACAGTTTCACACAAAGCTAAAAATTTTAACTGTGAACTATTTTGAGTGTTCATATAAGTAAAGATGTAAATTATAAAACACATTTTAAACAAAGTAGAGGATAATTTTATGAAAGATCTGTTCATATTCAGAAACAAACTGAGTCTTTATATAATTTTCAATGAATTCCAAAATAATTTGAGAGAGCCTTCACTTCAGTATGACCTTTCTGAGTTCTTTAGTACATGATAGCATGTGAGATCTGTCCATGGAAATGACTGCACATTACTAATTAAATAAAACTGGACAAGGGGAGGGGAGATAAATGGAACCACAGAGTTAGTACTTGTCCTTCATTAAATTCATCTTTTTATCCACTACTCAAATAAGTGTAATCAGGAGATTTGTCATAGCTCTGTTTAATGATGGTTCCCAATAAGCATTGGTCCAGAAAAAATAAGTATTTATTTGTACAGTTAATCTTAGGTTTCAGAGCTACTTCTCATTAAAATCACTAGCATTTCTATTTACATTTTTTTCTGACTGTTGACATTGTGTAAAAAAATATTTGGACGCTAAATGGCTGTATCTATATGCCTCTAAATATGGGGATAAAAACAGAAAATTATAGTCATCTAGATGGTTCCTATTTTTTGCATGCTTTATTCTATGTTAAAAATGCTAGATAAAACCAAACAGCACAAATAAAAGAAGGCCCAATTTTCCTATATAGTCACATAAAAAAAGGCAGTAGAAATTTGGAGTACTTTAAGGACATTTTTTGCTTATATAATTAGAAAATATGTACTCAACTAAAATACACTTATTTTTTAAAGAAATTTCTAAAATACAGATACACTGTTATGTAACTTATGTTTCTGCCATTCATTATAGCTATGTTACTTTGCATAATTATAAGACCACTGAAAATGAAAGTAGTTTACATTTACACAGTTAACACTAATTGAGCACACACATCATGCAGGTGTTGTGTCAGGTGGTGGAAAGATGAAGATGAATAATTATGGTCGCTGCCCTTGGGGAGCTCACAGCCCATGAGGAAAACAGTATGTTGAAGGAGTAATGGTAGCATGAGGCAGTAAGAGATGCATACTAAGCTGTGGGAACACAGCTCATTGAAAGGGGAGACCAGTAAGCAGTCCTGTGAGGCTAGAGGTCACAGTGCACAGCGGGAGGCTGATACAGAAGATGGGCTGCTATGGTGGTCTGCAGAATTCATTCCATACAAAAAAATGAGGTTGAAGTATATTCATCATAGTTACGTTTGCTAGGATTATACAGAAACTTAGTAGGACTCTTTCCTTCCATCCTTTCTTTCTCTCTCTCTCTTTCTCTCTCTCTCTCTTTCAAATTTTCTGCAACACATCAGTTTTGTTTTTAATTCAAATATGGCCAGTGGTGTATTTATTAATAAAATATTTCAAGTCAAAATTAATTTCTGTAGTTATTTGGGACTTTTAGTTTAAAATGCAAATTCCTTTCTTCTAACTAAAAAACTTTTACTACTGTCATATAAGAACAAAAAAATCTTGAAATGATAAAACATGTAGATGAATATTGTATCAAAAATGTCATCAGTTTGGCTATATTCCATTTTCCTGAAGATCATATCAATCATTGATCTAGTACTTTGTGTTTCAAATAATTGAAGCGAACTCCTGTCCTTTTTTTTTTTTTTTAAATTACCATCCTAAAATGGTGGGTAAGTCTATTGGGTAAGTATATTTCATATAATAAAACCCCAAATGAAAAGCATGAACCACACTAGGCTATTGGAATGCTCAACACATATCCAAGTGCATTAAGTCAAAGAGAACATCAGTAGCAACAGCCTTGGCTTCCCAGAGAGTTGCTGTCTTATTTAAATGTCTTACTTCCTCAAAGGAAGTCTAGTAGAGTAGAGGAAGGAGAATGGGGGAGGGGAGGGAAGACAGGGGGAAAGGAGGGTGGTGGTGAGTGGCCTGAATTGAAATAGAACTCCATGCTTGTATGAGTTTATTTGGATGAACCCAACTACTATGTATAACTATAAAGCCCTAATACAACAACAACTACAACAACAAATCCAAATGTCCTGCTTTCAGACCAAGAGTTCTGAGACTTCTGTTTTTATAACCTCACTTTTGCCAAAGCCTACTTTCAGAAAAGGATCCGATATTTATATATAGGTACAAATTTAAGTCATGGCATTACTTCTTCCTGGGTTACTTCCTTTTCAAATCTCATCTCTAATTTTGTATACAATAAGTTATAGATATTTGTGAGTAAAAGAATGAACTGGGTGAACCCAGTCTTGTCTCACTACTTAATACAATGTGGAAAGTGGGAAATGCTTCCTAAATACTTAGTGGCTAACTGATGGAGTGCTCATCCAATACTAGCTGTTTGAGTTGGAAGAGTGAAATTCATCATCTACTACCTGCAAATGTTAGAGGTGGGAGAATATATTACAGAGCATTTACTTTAGCCCCTTCTCCTTATAGGTTAAATAATTGATGACTGGCAAGTGAAGAACCAGGAACCCAGGGTAGCACAGTTGAGAGCAAAACTCAGATCTACTGGCCAAAATCCATTACCCACAATGCAACCCGCTGTTTCCTGCCTATCAGTCAACAATGTCTCTGGCGCAGAGGACTGAAGGTGAGTCATCTGAAATACACTACATGGCTCTTAGCTGTGATGCTTTGATTCTGATACTGTTGTCTTTGATTGTCCTTCACCAAAACACTGCTCCAGCCTTAGTCATTGAAACCCTTGCTATGGGCCATTGATTTCAACTTTTATCTTGGTTTTCAAAGGCACTAATGGCCTAATCATTAAGTTCTGCTTGCCTTTCGTCACAAAGGCTTCTTTGTCAGTGTGGTTGAATGTATATGATGCTCCATCTTCACGGAGAACATTAAGCCCCATCTTCCTCACCAATTTTTATCAAAAACATATTCTACTTACATTTGTAAGCCAAACATTCTCTGACCTTACCAGTCTGTATCTACAAAATGAAATTACATTTCCGTTAATAACTGTGTTATGATGACTCAGAACTGTCATTGTGCTCAACTACAAGAAACTGCAGCCTCTTATGAAGTTCTACTTGGGAATGTGGGTGCACTCTGTAAATTGAGGCTCTCATCTGGGGTATCATCAGTGTTCTGTCCACAATCTGCCCACACACAGAGTTGTTACTTGCTGTGTGGCAGGTTGCCTCCTAATGGATGCAGTGTCTCTCAGCTATTATCTTTTCTCTCTGGCCCTGTGAATTCTCAATGCAGTAAAATCATACTCATGGGAAGGAAGATTGATTCTTGGCGGGATTAAAATATCATTTTTATGTGTAAAGCCCAGATATTCATGTAGGATATAAATACACAATTTATTATATGGTGATAATAAAATTTCAAAATAGGATGTAATGGTGGTGGTGGGGGGGGAGTGTCTAAGAAGGTCCCTAGGGGATTAATAATGAAAAACAGTTGAGAAACATGGTTCTAACCCTTCTCAGATGTGTGAAGGCCTAACCTCTCTGTAAGCTTTCAAATAGTCCAGCTGAGACCAATCTGTGGGTATTTCACAAGATTGTAACTAAAGATTCTGGGGGTGGAAGAAGAAGAACATCCTGGGCTAGGTGTGGTACCACTCAGGACACATCCTCCCTGGGGTACCTCACCATACTCCTCCCTGCATAGTTCCCGAGTAGCCTGCTATTCATCCATGTGGCTGCTATTCATCCATGTCTCTCTGGGACAGTTGTGGGTCCATGCTTCCAATTTCATATCTCCCCTCTACAAATTCATTTTCTGTCATTGAACTGCCACTTTCCAGGGAGATAAACCACAGGAAGGTCCATTGCCTCTATGATGACCTTACCTCATGTCCTTCTAAAGGAAAATCCTGTTGGAATATCCTGATCTGATACAGTGCAGTTTTCAAATCTGTGTCATCTGGCCTTAAATTTCTCTAACAATGTAACATCAACAGTTTTATCTAGGTTGAGATCAATCAAATCTAAATGAATACCTCTGAGAGTTTCCTTTACTTCTGATAAGAGGTCATGTTAGTAAGACCTCCCAGCCACCTCAGTGATCATGATGCCCAGACTTTCATAAAACATTGAGGAAACAGGCAAGAAAGTCTGCCAAGACAAAAATAGGAAGTCTTGAAAAATTCATTATTAGTTTATCTTCTCAGAGCTATCTGTTTTTTGGGCAGGGAACACATGGTTTTACACTGTGTTGGATCAAAATATGCACTGATATTATGTGGACCGTTTTCATTAGGTTAACAAGCTGGCCTTGGTTTGCCTGGGACTTTCTTAATCTTAGCACTGTAAGTCCTGAGTCCCAGGACAAACCAGAATTGTCAGTCACTCTGGTTTCAGTGCCTACTTGGAGACCACTCTGGCCAAGGTGACGCAGCATTGTTATGGTCTGTAGTGCTGTGGCTGGGTTTGCTTCCCTGATGTCATCTTCTCCCTCACCCTACTTCTTACTGCAAAACGCAAAGTCATACAGCAGTGTTTCTTGTTTTTTAATCTATAAAAGTTCAACATTTTATCTTATAATCAATATGTGAGCACACATCTCTCTCAGAAACTAAACATTTAGATGGTCATTCTGTAACAGGCATCTGTAATAGGATATGCTATTATTTCTGACAGCTGGAAGTGGTGAATCATCCTATTTGGTAATCACAGTTTGTTGGTTGTCAAGCAAAACATTTTAAATATTGCATGATATTACTTAGCCCTCTGCCCCTCCTTGTCAGTGCCACTGCTGTCTCCTGAGAGACCCAATATGTTAGGGCATGTCCATTGAAAATTGAAGCTGTATAATCTATTACAATGCAAAATAGAAATCAGCCTCATGCTGTGGGTAGCATCAAAACAGGCTTGTTACTTTTATAAAGATGGCTCTGATAAGAGCATCCCCAGTTGACCAACATATGGGCACGGATGAGGCTCTGTGTCTCTCATTTAATTTATAGTTGGAGCTCCCACCTCTGAGGTTTAACTAGTTTTTCAATGCTACATTTCTGCACCTGTGTGGTGCTACTAATCCCAGAGACTATTTTCTTTTTCATCGTGCGGAATTATCCAGAGATATCAATTAAAAAGAAAAACAATTCAGGGAAATAGAAATATGCTGTATCCCAGAGGTTACAAGGTGGAACACATGAGGGAAAATGAATTCATCTTTGAATTTGTAACTGTAATTTAAAAAAATAATGTCTTACACATATAAAGATGGCACATAGTTCAGGAAGCTTCTGATGAGCTTTAAAAATCTCTATTAATTCTTAATTTACACAATTTAAGTATTTGCAAATTTCCTACTGTATAGATTAATGACTGCAGACAACTCTTTCTTCTCTCTTCACCAGAAACAATCAAATTTCATATCTCATAACTTCTATATTAGCTAGAGGATGGTAGGAGATGCCCTCATTTCTGTTTTATAAATGAAGAGAACATAACACAAAGACATTGCCACAATTCTAGCAACCTCATAATTTGCCAGTATGCCTGAAATATGATCAAGTTACTTCTTATATCCCTAAGCGCTCTCTGGCAGGAAAATGTTCCCATTTTTTTTTCTCTTTATTTTGTTTTGTTCTGGAAAACATAGTTTATTAAGTTTTCAAAAGATTTATTTTCTGTAAGTTTTTAAGGATAATGCTTAAGCACAACCAGGAAGGGAGCCAAAGAAATAGGTATTAGACATTCTGTGAACACTAAGTACAGGAGAGATTGGATTTAAGTATGGACACTGGAAGAAGTTGAGTATTCGTGCCCTTCAAAGTTTCAGGGAAAGCTGAGTTTGATTTTGCTCTGTCAAGATTGAGATTTTCTATATTTACTATTGTTTTGAAATGCTTAAAAGGGAGTCTTTTCATCCATGACCTGATTCAATTATTATAGTAAATTTTTTGTACTATGGAATTAAATTTGATGAATTATGGAGGATTTTATATAATTTTCCTGCTTATATTAGGAAGGTTTTATAAGGCACTAATTGCTTAATAGAACTGCCCAAATTTAATTAAGATAAAATTACAGTAGGTTATTATAATATTTAATTATGAACAAGGAGCTTGGCAACATTAAAGGGGTTTTGTCCAAATATATAGGTTAAACCATGTGATTTAATCTCACCCTGCCTCAATTTCACAATTTCAGCTCCTAAGAGAATTGAGGCACCCTATCTCAATCATCTAGTCCTGTTGTATGTTTTTTTTTTTCTCCTTAAAGAGCTCAATCGATAAACTAATCAACTCTGTATTCAGAATTTTGGACTAATAGAAAGTTGAGAAAATTAAACAAATTTTATAAGATACCCCAACCTTTGGAAGTTTTGATATATGCTCACTATTTATTTACCATTTTTGCTATTTACTTTAGCTAAAAGAAGTGTTTGGGGTACAGGACAAAGGGAGGGAGGGTATAGAATACATATTCTTTAAAAATAAATCATGTAGTGAAATAAAATTTGTTGTAGAATATTTTAATATTTTCCTTAAGATGGAGCAAAACATCTTAGTATACAGAACATCCAGGATTGGGAATTGCTGGTTCATTGTTTTAGTGACTAGCTTACTTAAATTCTCAAAATAATTTGTCTATTCTCAAAACAATATGAAGTGCCTCACACAAATGTACAGGAGTTATACATTTAGAAATTAAGAAAAGGATGATAAATACATTAGGAAATTAGGAAGATAGGAAAATGAGAAGCATTAATAAAGAAACCTTAATAAATTATAGAAAAATGTAATTCCTTTCTATATTAATGTTTCTCATCCTTAGCTGCACACAGGGATCATCTGAAACTTTAAAAAAAATAAAAAACTAATGTTTTGACCCACTTCAGCCCAGTTACATGAGAATTCTAAGGATGGGGCTTGAACAATGCTGCTTTTAGAAAATCACGTAGTATATTCTGATATGCAACTGGGATTAAGAATCATTGCCTTATACCAAATAAATAAGTAAAACAAAAAATATCCATTGTTCTCCCTCCCTCTAAATGTAAAGAAAATCACTAGAGTTGTCCTGAAATCCATTCTCTGTTACATTATTATTTTGTTTAATTGAAATTGACTCAATTTTTTTTTTCAGGAAAAAATTTGTTTGTCACTACCTTTTTTTCAAGATGCCTATGTGGAAACAGAAATAGGAAAAAAAAAACTAGTCCAAGATTAAAGAAAGAATAAGGACTCACTAGTGGTGTAAATACAGTGCCTGGGGAGAAAGAAGTGAGTCACTGGGACTAAAGAGGCAGGGGTAAAAATCACAGAGGACTTCCTGGAGGAGATAGCATTTTTCCCAGGCCTTGAGAACTAAGAAACAGCTTCCAGAAAGAAGATGGAGCCGAATGAACTTGGGGCTGATGGAAGGGTGAGCAGAGACTGGGAACAACTCCTGAATACGGGGAGTTCACGGACAGGGGAGCAGATCCATGAGGCATGGAGGCAGCTAAATAATTACATTCACCGCGAATTCCCATTCTATCTTGCTTAGAAGATGTTTCTTTTTAAGTGACTGACTACTTTGGCGCTGGAGAAAACGGATCGTCTCCCGTGTGTGTGTGTGTGTGTGTGTGTGTGTGTGTGTGTGTGTGTGGCAGGATGAGTAATGGAAACATCACTTGTCCTTGCCCTCCTAACCTTGGCCTGTCTTCTTTTTTTCTGAGGTATCTTACTAGACTTTATGGTGCCTGTAGACCTTGAAGCCAGAATCTGAGTAGGAAAAAATGAATAAATAAATAAAAGGCAGAGGCAGCAGCCCAGAGGAAGCTAATCTTTGGAAAATCTTTAATCAACTGAGATTTTGCTAGGCCTCTGGAGGTAGGAGGAGAGGAAGACTTTGACAGGGCAAAAGAATGGAAGTCAGGACTCATTGCTCAGAGCTAGTGGACTCTCAGGAGGGAGACCCTGGCACCCCAGTTTCCAGCATTGGCCAAGATCCTCGTACCTATGTGGGTAGGTACCCAGTGAGTCAAGGAGCTTCAAGGGACCCTAGCAGGTAAAACCCTGGGGAAGTCAGTAGCAGCTCATCCCATTTCCAAGTTCCAATCAAGGGTTAAGAGCCTGTCATAACTGATATAAATTCCTTACTGCTCTGAAGGACCACATAAGGAAAATAGCTTCTGCACACTCAAGTTTGTGCGCCAAAATTCGTACTTGCGACATCTATGAATATTCTTGACCTAAAAAGCGGTACTGAGGGCTAAAGAGGGTGGGATATTGAATCAGCCAGGTTTCTGTCTTTAGTTCTTATCAGAACTTCTAGAATAGAACTAACATTTATTATACACTCATTCCATGCAAGGGATTTACTGATATTGCCTTATTTTATCTTCCTAGCACCCCTGAGAGATAAGGACTTGTTTCATCACCAGACCAGGTCAGTCTCCTTGGCAAGGTCACCCACAGAGCCTGGATTCAGTGTTAGGTTGACATCACAAAATCTTATTTCCTTAACTTCATTCCTGCACGCCCTCCCTAGACTCTTTGTTCAGTGTTGCCATTAATAAAACATAGACACTAATAAACCAGAAAGTAAGAATGCTGTCAGTGGAGGACTTATTCTATAGCTCCCCTTCCTTGATAAGCTCTGATAAAAAGGAATGAACAAATTCAGATTCTGCTTCTACCAAACTCCCTTTGAGAAATAATTGGAAGAGAACAATCTCTACTGTTACCCAGTCTGCTCTTCCGGTGTATCTCTGCACATTTTTTTTCCTTTTCCTATGACTGCAGATTTTTCTCTGCCAGTGCCTACTTGTCATTGACATCCATTGTGCTCTGATAAAGGGCTGTCATAGCTTTAAAGTAGGCAAATCCACCAAAGTAACCTTCAAAGAAACCATCCCTAATCAAATGCTTATCGATCTCTGTCTCACTGCTCCTTATCTTAAAATGAATATTTGAGAAGGAAATCCTTTTGCCACATATTCACCGGGAAGGAAAATGGATTGTACTTTCCATATGTGAGGCAGAATTTTTGATAAACTTGAGATATTCTGGTACTTTATGCACCTGTCACTTTGTTCAGTCATACTAGTTCTGTTTTTTGACAACTTGTTTGTTGGTATAAGAAGCCAATGGGAAGGTGAACTGAATAGAGGAAGAAATTCCTAAATGAAGATTGTGTTGAGGTACAGCTTCTCCATAAGCTCAATTCATGGTGGTAATCTCAGGAGTTAAGGGGCCCTCATGATTTCTAGGTGCTTAATAATGTATCGCTCCGACTTGATCTAGTGCATTGAGATAGAAATGTCATAAGATAGGTATGTCCACTCTGGTATATTTTCAGAAAGAAGAGGAGGTGGGGGAGAAAGAGAAAGAGAGGGAGAGAAAGAGAAAGCATGTCTCAAAGTATGATTACAGAAATATTTTTAGTTTAGTAATTACTGATGAGATTATGAGAGTTTTATTTCCTGCTTTATATTTATAATATTTTTCTAGTTAGATGAATTCTAGATAAGGAAGAGGGATAGGAGGGAAAGGGAGGGGGCAGGGGATTAACAAGGATGGTGGAATGTGATGGACATCATTATCCAAAGTACATGTATGAAGACTCGAATTGGGTGTCAACATACTTTATATATAAACAGATGTGAAAAATTGTGGTGTATATGTGTAATAAGAATTGTAATGCCAAAAGAAAAAAAGTACTTGTATAAAGACATGAATTGGTGTGAACCTACTCTATATACAATGATATAAAAAATTGTGCTCTATATATGTAATAAGAACTGTAATGCATTCCGCTGTTGTGTATTAAAAAAAATAAAATCAATAAAACTAAAAAAGAAAAAAATCAAAACTAAAAAAGTAAATTAAACAAAGAGTGTTATGTTGAAAAAATAATATTCTTTAGGATCTATGTTTTTCTTGACTGGACATTTGTAATAATAATTTATGAACCAAAAAATGTGACATGAAAATATCCTTGAGGGACAGGTGAAAAGAAAGGGCAAACTCTGTATAAGTACAGTTTTCATACCCTTAAATACCAATTAAAATGGCATAAACTGTTTTATCAAACACAGGCAATGCCTCCAACAGTGTGTGAATGGGAAAGGGAATAATGTCATCACAGTCAGCCACGAGGGAGCAGCTAGGCCAGTGTGACTTCCGAGTTCTTCAAGTCGCTAGAGATGACCTAGCCTATGGCTCCGGACTTCAAAGGGGCTAAATGACACTGGCCTTCCCACCCATGCAGAAGATGTGGAGGAAGTTCAGGATCTTTGAGTGATCCTTGTCTCTACGTCCCCAATGCTAAAATTAAAATAAATAAATAAAATTAAAGGGGGAAAAAAGGAAATCTATCTAATGGCTGTGTTCTTTCTGATAAAGGAAAAAAGAATGGAGGAGACCAACTTTGGAAGTGGTCAGAGAAGCATCAAGAGGCACACTGCACTGTGAGGAGATGTTGGGGACCTACTGTACTACTGGTGTACTTGCTGATCTTTACCCACTCAAGGCATCCCGGCCATTCCTGCTGACATGGGAGCACTGCCGTGGTAGGTAGATAACTAGGTAGTTTTGTTGTGGGAGCTTCATTTCCTGATGATGAATTATGAAGAGTTTTTTTTTCCTTTTTGTTGTTTTAAAATAGGGCTGTCTTTACCTGAGAACATGTTAATTAAGTTATCATGTTTTCCCTAGTGCAGATTTAATGCATTCCATAGAGACGAATGACCCTTTAGAAGACAGCTTTCAGTACTTGCCACAGCAGCTGCTGTAATTCCACCAAGAAGAGCATCTCAGAACACCCAGGGCCTGAGGAATGGGCTTGAGGAAGTAGGGGCGTTCAGATCAAGCCCTAAAGCAGCCAGGACCCCTTCCCTGGCATGATCGTGTCTGCTGCTTTCTGTTGTGCTTCCTAAACAGCTTGATGTTGTCTATGCACTGGGCCATGCTATTCACCAGCTGGCCTTCCTTCTAGAAGGAAGTTGGCCTTTATCATCCAGAATCCTGTTGGAAAACTACTCTATTTCAACACGCTGGCATGTGACTCTTTCAAATGGGAACAAGAGCCACAGGTCCCATCTTCACAGTTGGTACAATGTCAGCTCAAATGGCTATTTGGGAAGACTATGCTGAACTTAGTGGCCCTCTTTTAGAGATAGAGAGAGAGAGAGACAAAGATTGAAACATAGTCTCTGGCCTTTGGTAGTTGGGACCTGACTTGGGAGCACAGCAATTGCTTCCAGTGATAATAGTGAACACAGTAAGAGAGAGTCAGCCAATGTAGTATGAGAGGAGGCATCTTCCATGTGAGGTCCTAGGTGGGTGGAGGTTGTGACATCATCCACTCGGGCCCTGACCTCCTGCAGAAATTCAGCACAGGGGTGGCCCTGCTGCTGTGTGCTAAGCCATTAGTTAAAAGGGGTATCCAGTGGTGTGAATCTAAATGAGCTTTCTAGTGAGTGAGGGGCTAATAGGGAGACAAGCTGGATACTGAATAAGAGACCAAGTTTGGGAGAACCTTCTAACCTGAAAAAAAAAAAAAAAAAAGGAATGTGAAGAACAGCTTGGAGACATCTCTGCCCCAATATGCTGTACTCATTGCCCAGCCTCCACGACCTCCACTTTTGTTCAACAATTTCTAGTCGTTGAGAACAAGACTTACCTAGCAAAAAGAGCTCATCTCATTACTTTGAAATTGCTCACAAACTCTTTCCTGTTTGCCTTTTTCCTTACTCTCATCCTTCCATTTCTAACCTTCTTAGAGCTCCTTTGTGTTCTATTTCCCCTTTCCCTACCCCTCCAGACCAGGAGGACAAAACACAGGTGCAGTTACCAGGACACCAGACTACACTGAGTTTTTCCATGAAGGAAAGTGCTGTGGAGTTGGCCTTTTGTCTGACTCTCCTGACTCCCTCCATGGATCGATCTCCTTTTCTGTAGTAGCAGAACAGAAGCCTGGAGAGTTGATGTGGTTGCAGCACGACATAAATGGAAATCCAAACACTCATTTTCCACTTCTTTATTTTGCCTTCTGAGTCACCGAGCCTCTGCAAAACTTCAACCTCTCTTCCCACAGCCTTAACCCCTGAAAACCTGCAGCAAGTTCACATGCATTTTTAACACTCCACTCTTAAGTCCGTAACTTTTAAAAAATTGTGGATCCAGTGCATGGCCTTGGTTTTATAAGAGGCTAGTAATTTTTTTTTTTTTAACTTCCACTGTATTGCCCATTTTGGGCATTTCTACCTTTCCTTGTATCTTTGTAAGATTTCCTTCCAGATGTCTCTTCCAATGGCTTGACAACAGCCCTGTTATCTTCTAAGAATCGAAAAACATGTTACTGCTTTGCAAAAATGTGTCTGCTTTTCCATCTCGTTAAGCAGCATCTGAAATCTCTCTGAAAACACATGAAAAGGAGAGGCGGGTGGGAGGAGGAAGGGAGAGAGCCTTCCAGAATCTGAAAGTCCCAAATAAATAAAGGCCCGTTAGTGTTTCTTTTTTTTTTTTTTAATAACATCAAAGAGTTACCTCATATTTAAAATGTACCGTTTTTGGTTTGTATGGGGTGGAAAAGGATATTAATGCAAACTTATTTGCTTCTTAGTTTATCATGGAAATCAAAAGAAACAGAAGAGAAAAAAAAGAAAAAGAACAGAGAGTTCTGACTTTCATCTCAGGCTATTTCTGAAATGACAAAATGATGATCCTGCAAGATTCTCAGAACTTCTCTCCACCTTGCCAAGAGTCCCTCTGTGCTCTGCGGGTGACTTGCCTAGGAAAGGATCCTTTTCAGCCTTTCAGGCTGCTAAGCCAAGGCAGATACAGCCACAAGGTGTCACTATTGCTAACATCGCTCTCCACCTATGGGATCAATTGTGATTATGCATATCTAACGAACATTCCAAACTCATTTTCAAATAGGATCAGTGGGAACGAAAATTTTTGATTGGCAATATTAGTTGCCTCCTTCACTTCAAATGAACTTGTGACTTCTGCTCAGTTATCTCGTGAGACTTAGATTTCTAATCCAGAAATTGGATAGGGGATAACAATCCCCGTTTCTTTCTTTTTTTTTTTGGGGGGGGGTGTAATTGTGAGCTTTAAATTAGAAATCCTTTGGCTTAGCTGTTTTATAGGCAGAACTTAGCTCTCCAGAAAGGCTAGCTTTCTTAACTTAAAAAGTTAGGAAGTGGGAGTGGGGAGACAGTAGTAACTTTTTACACTCTGAGAGAGCAATTGGAGTTAAGGGTTATAAGAACATCTAATATAGATTTCCGTTTATTGTTAATAGCTGTGCCACTAAAAAAAAGTTTAGGAAAAGCTAATTAAGGTAGCTTCCTCTTACAGAGTCAGAATATTAAAGTTGCTTTGAAGTCTTTAGGAACCCCTGCTATAAAGACACCCAGCTGATTTTGTTTAATACAAATTTCCCAAATCTCCTTGAGCCAAAAACATAGATTATGTTTTGTTACCATCCAAATCGGGAGACTTTTGTCTATTTTAAACTTCATCGTACAGATGAGAAGCCCAAACAACAAAATTTGGCACACAAAACACATGTCTTCTAAGTGGCAGTTGTGGAGAATCATTCCTCGGAGTTGGTTTGTACCAAACCAACAAAAGATGAGTTATGGCCCCTAACTCATCTCTCCCCAGATCTGTGCTGAATGATGTGAGGATAGGCTGGTAGTTTTAAATCAACCACAGTGGCAATATTTCACTACAGAAATGGGCTAGCATGACAAATCATTTTTCCCCCAAAGAGTAGGTTTAGTGGTATACCACTTTTAGAACCCAGGTGTTTAAATACCCAAACCCACATTTCAAAAATTTCTCAGTTTCTAATGTATTTTGCAGAAATTTTGGTAGAGGAATGACAAAACTTAAAATATTAGTATCCTCTGTGTGTGTGTATGTGTGTGTAATATTCAAGACACATCTGTTATTGGAGGGAGTAGGGGATTCTTTTCTTCAAATGCTAGGAGGAATTTCAGTTTTCCTGCTGAGTTCTAACCTGCCAAGCCTCAGCCAGTTAAAGTTCATGGTAGAGGAAGGTTTGCTAACTGATCAATATCTCTTCCAGCCCACCTCTGATTCCTAGGGTAGCTCCAGGGACCAGAATGAATTCAATGGCTCCATCTAACCCACAGCTGGCCCATGATAGCTTATTTAATAGGGCCTTGATATGCTAGATGTGGGGATTTGATAACTTCCAGATGCTTCCTAACTGTTCTAAAAAGATCTTCATATATATCTATATCTATGTAGATATACCTATCTCCTTGGTTTTGCTGTATTTATTATATAAATAAGTGTATTATATAAATACAGCTAAACCAAATATTTTATTTATATAATAAAAATACAGTCAACATGTACCTCTTCATTGTGATATCTTCAGCCATGACTGAAATATCTGCTCCAGGTCAATGATATTTCTAACTCACAGTTCCAGTCTTCCAGAGGAGAAAACTGGAATGCAACAACGTTTAATCATGTTCCCATTGTGACATAACTCATATTCATCTTCTAGTCTTTAAAGACCCAAGAACTTTGAGCCATTTAGGTTCCTTCTTGTGTAGAGAAAGAAGAGTGAGTTGACCTTCCTGGAAAGGACATTTCTGGACAAGAAGTATACCAGGACCAAGCAAGAAACTGTCTTTTAAGGAGGCCTCTGTAACTCTGTTTAAAACCTACACTTACCACACAGGAGGGTGGAAATAGAGGCATTCCTTGTCTACTGGGGAAATATTACAATAATACTTTGGGAGACACAAAGAGATTGCTGTCCTTGCCTGTGTATTCTGGAGAGAGAAAATAAGGAGAGAAGTAGGAAGTTATGGACATTTTTACAAATAACAGTTTGAGGGTTAAGCCAGAACCACAAGCTGCTTCATGCTTTTTGGGAAATGGCTTTGAGTCATTTATCAATTGTCTCATCCATGACAACATAAGTATCAGCAAAGTCTCTGAAATTTGTGGTGGGACTGCAGCAAAAAAGCAGGAAAATTGTATAGGTCATGGGCTCTGGCCTGGGCCCCATGCTTTGAGTAACTGTGTTGCATGTAGGTGCTGTGGAGCCTCGGGGCCCTGGCAGGACAGTTGGGGACACTGGTTTATTCTTGGCACATGGCTCATCACTGGAGTCCTGAGAGTCTAGCACTACAATGAGACGAATTAGGAGATTCTGACAGGGATGAAGAGGACAGGTCACTGAAACTATATGAAGTAGCTTGCTTAATTCTGTATTTTTGGGGGATGGTGGTAGTGGTGGTTTGCGAATACAGGTATACAGCTATGAAATCACTTTTGCATTCAGGCTAGGATATTCAATTTCTGCTCTCCACGGTCTACTGGTTGAGTTTCACATGGATTTTTCATTCTGCCGTGTTTATACATTTTGTTGATAAATTTGAATTTGATACTACAAAATTTGAACTTGAAATCATTTCCTATACTACTATTTACGGTTCAGATCTGATAGGTGCCACTTCTTTATACTACTACAGATTAGAGTTCAGTCACTCATGGTCAAATCTCACAAAGTCAAACTTTCATCATTTGATGAATTTTCTCTATTTTTAATCATATAGTATGTCCCTTTCCTATTCTAGGTTGCCAGTGTCAAAAGACTCTTGTGCTGGTGGCTGGGGGTTGTAGCTCAGCCATAGAGCACTCATCTAGCACTTGCGAAGGCCCTGGGTTTGATCCTCAGCCCCACATAAAAATAAGTTAATTAATTAAAAAACCCAAAGATATTAAAAATAATTTTTAAAAAGACTCTTGTGCTGAATATCTAGTAGCCTATAGAGGAAAGGGCAGTAATGTAATCTCTCATGATCACAACTCCCTTCCAAGGGGATCCCAGAGTTGCTTACAGGTTATTGCTTATATAGGCATCTGCATTCTGAATCACATGACCTGGGATTACCACCCACACTGCAGTCATCGTTTGACCATGAATGACCAGTCTTAGATTGTTTTAAGTAGGGTTGGGTGCCACCGGGGACCATGGCTGCTAGAGAACACAATTTATGCAAAAAGCAGCTGAGAAGGGGAAAACCTTGGAGCTTGGCTCCAGAAGTGTTCCACAAGAACATCCGGTTATGTCTTGTAACTGAGCTCTAGATTGTTCTCACAGGGGACAGATCTCCCCCTGAGCCAGTCCTTGAAGGATTTTAAGTTGCACTCAAAAATGGTAATCTGCATACATCCCTGAACTGGAAGATATAGGAATTTAAGAGTGAAAAAGCATTAAAATTTAAAATCTGATGGGATACAAAATTAAAACAAACAAAAAAAAAATAAGTGAAATACTAAATAGAATGGTGGCGCTTACTATCCATCGGTGATGTTAAATGGGATGGATGATCAAACTTTCACTGCTTAACTTTACATTTCAGACCCTAAAAGAAAAAAAAAAAACAGAGTCAAAAGTTAATTATAACAAGGGAGGAAATTACATCACACTCTTGGCGGGCTTATCTTCATCCACCACAGCAGCCTATTAGCATAGCTTTATCAGAGGATGTTAGAATGCAGACCCATCAATGAAGCTCATCGATTAATTCTGTGAACAAAATTAGAGTCACTGCTTGTTCTGAAATTGGAGAATCAATGCTGTATATTAATAACTAAGCAGATAATTCAAAATAAAAGAGTGCATGCTCTACAGAAACCTCCCCTCTCACTCTCCCCAAAGGGATCTTGTCCATCTCTGAACTTTTAAGGTGTGCTGTTTGCTCAAGCCACCTGTGCTTGGAGAACCTTCTCTGCCTTTTTGGTTGTGGGAAGGAGGTGGTTTCCAGTGGGACAACAATGACAATCCAACTCCTGTATGGTCTTTCATTTTTTCTCTTTGCAACTCCCCTACATTCTACCTTGTCTCTCACAAAACTGGTTTCCTCACTATTTGCTAAATATAATTTATTCTCCTACCTCTGAGTGTCCATCCATATCTTTGTTTCCAACTAGAGTGCCCCTTCTTTCCAATTTTAACCCATGAGTATTATTCATTCTTAATTTAAAACCCAGTCAAAAATCACCTATCCAGGCCCCAAGAACAGAATATGATCTTGTCTGTCTATAGTCAACTGAAAAGGCTGTTTTTAAAGTTTGGTGAAAGAGTATATTCCTAGACTTTACTTCCAGTGATTTTGATTAAGCAGTTCTGGAGTGGGAAGCACTCCAGAGCTGGGGCTCCATAATCTTCACTTTTTAAAAGAATTGCAGTTAGTTCTGATACACCAAGCTCATGAACCCTTCCTCATAACCCTTCCTGTATAAGCCAGTCACCTGACACCTACCATTTACTGTCTTGCTTTTTCCAGTGGATTTAGATCTCAAGAGAAAAAGTAACATCATTAAATATTTCCACAACAAATAAATAATACTACTCCAAATTTGAATTCAACTATTATTTTTGTGTGTGAACAGCAGCAGGAAGTAAGATCACCTCTTCAAAATTAATGATTCTCAGACCTCACCCCAAAGGCATCCACCAGGCCAAAAGAATAACCTTAACAAAATCACCCACATCAGTGGTCCTTATCCAGACTCACTGTCAAATCTTGATCAAGATTTCACTATTCTATCTATGTAAACCAATGAAGGTAACAGAATACATTTTCCAGTAAGCTTTCAATTTTATTTTTAAATTTAAATATGGTATATTCATTCGGACACTATGTCTTTCCTATTTTTTGCTATTAGATGCCCTCCCACACACATGAAATGGTAATAGTGAAGTTATTATTTTTAGCATTCTTATTTAAATGTTGTCTCTATTATGGACCTTATTTTTTTTCATCATATATTTTATTATTTTTGACCTTTCTCATTTTGTTTCAAGAATTGATTCCAGTAGCCTCTTTTGGTGAGAGGTGTCTTGAGTTTGTCTTCTAGGTGGTGGATTTGATGTCAAGAAAATCAATTCTATTCTTTACTACTTCCATTTTGAAGATTTTAAATTTATTGTATCTTGAGGTTATTATATAAGTTGTCCATTCAGTTGTACATCACCTGGATCCCTGTCTTTATGTTGCCCTAATACATCAAAACATCTAGTTGATGGAGGCTATTCCATTCCTATACTTGCAAAACAATGCAGCAATTGCTTTCTAAAATTATAATTTGTTTCTTCTGTAAAGATATTTTCTTTTAAATTTGGGGGTGCTTTTTCCTTCCTTTAAGCTGCAGTATCCTTTTAGAAGCTAAGCACAGAGCTTAGATAGTTAACTTTAGCTGCAAAAAGAGCTTCCGAGTGCATTAAATGGAAACTGAAGACTATCTCATTCCTTGTATCTTTGGATAAATGTAGTATCTGGACCTTATTTTTTAAAAATTCTACTGGTCATCAAAATTATGACCTCCTGGATGCCTCCTTATCTCTGTGTGAATTCCAGTATCTTCTCCAGTCCAAAGTGCTGTCTTTTCCCCCAGGACTCATATCAAAAAAAAAAAAAAAAAAGAATAGCTGTTTCTTCACATGGCATTGAGATGTACCACCCCTTTTTGGAGACCTTACAGACCTTTGCTTGGTGTGCTGGCCTTCCAATTTTATGGCTTTAAAAGTGTTGTTTTCCTTAGAAGATGGCAATAATGTTTAATACTCTTAGTTACCAATGCAATGATATGCCTCTACGATACAGCACAAAGGAAGAGAGCAGGAAGTGTTAGAATTTGAGTAGTGTATTTGACTTATTTCTTTATGTGACTTTGTGAGTTTGTTATATTTCTCCCAAGGAGTGAAAGTTCCCTATAAATCTGGGAGAAGAATCTCCTTAACACAGAATGATTGCACAAATTATCTACGGAGTTTCCCATATCTTAAATAGACCTGTTTTGGGAACATTGTTTTTTCTTTGGCATTAATTGCTCATAGTTGAGACTCAGTGCCAGATAATTTGCCAATATCTTCGAAGGTGGCTGAGGAGTCTAACTATATGGCCTGAATTATATGACAAACAACCATTGTCTTGGTTCCTCCACCTATGGAAAAAAATTATGGTTTTTCATTAGGCATACGTCTAGCTAAACTAAGTGAACAATTGCTCTGCAGAGAAGCTTAGGCCTTATTTTACTTAATTTGCTTTGTATTAAAATTGTTCAATTAAACCCAGGAAGAAAAATAAGGTGTTCCTCTAGTGTTTATATGAAAACCATTTTTCTAAACGAGTTCCTGTATGAATATACATAGCATTTTATCAAAAATTAATAGTCTTAGCCTGAAAAAAACAGAGCACTATATATTAATTATCCAAAGCAGTAGTTTTATTTATGACCTCTTTGACATAGCCTTTACCTCAGTAGTCTCAGTCCCAGAAGCTGTGAAGAAAATAGAAAAGGAGCTGAATGTAGGTTTTCAACTGGAACGGTGTTTAATTACTTCTGTTCTACACTATTTGTGCTGTATGGTCAGTAACATGCTAATGAGTTTCAATTAAGTTACCTTTGCAAAACTAAATTACCTTTGCAAAATTCTGCCAAGAAACAGAAATTGGGTCATATAAGGTTGGATATTGAATAAATATTGTCTTGTTATCGGTGAAAATATATGTTTAACCTCTTTACTTTTCCATTATCTGTGATTCAAAATCACTGATGTATGTCATGGGGTTATGGCTGTCAGTAAAAGTGGCTTAGAAGGAAGTGAAAGAATTCAAAGGGTAAACAACTGTAGCTTTAACATATTTCATGAAATCTGAAAGATGTTGTTTGGATGGTTCTACTCTAATCCTTGTTGTAGAACACTGAGGTCGGATGGTGACTGGCCTATGAGAAATAGCTGGAATTAGAATAATGTGTTCTTCTCAAAACACTGATCTCGTAAAAAATTTAAGAGCATTTCATAGTCAAAGCTCTATCTCCTCATCATCTTGGAGATTTATATAAAACAAAGACACTTAAATTCCTGCAACTAAAGAAGGACCAAAAAGGTATTTATTTGTTAACAGTATCTCCTGATATTTTCCTAAATTCAACCTTTTTTCTAGAACCATCCATGGAACCGATGTCCTGGCATCTGATAGCATGAATTCTCCCATTCCTGGTAGTGGTAAGAGTGGCTCATTGTATCTCACCTTTTAATATAAACAATGTGATTTGGGCTGAACATTTGCTTTCCTTCCGGGAGTCTAGGATTTAGGTCTGGGTAGGTAGAGGATATCTGTGTGGCTAGTTCCCTCCCCAAATCCTTGGCCACTGAGTGTCTGATTAGTTTCTCTGATTGGGACATTGCCACACATGTTGCCAAGGTCGTTGCTGGAGAGGTGGCTTGCTTTCTGTGTGACCCCTCTTGGGGAGAGACTCCTGGTGTCTTGTGTTTGGGTCTCCTGACCTTTGCCCATGTGCCTTCTCCCTTTGCCGCTTGTGCTTGGACTCCTTTTACTAACTAATCATACATAGAAACACGCAGGGTCCTGTGAGTCCACCTGGCGAATGAGAGACCCCGATAGTGGTTTCAGGAATCCCATATATGAGTGCTAAGCTAGAAAGACGCACCTCTGCCTGCACGTGCCTTGCCATCTGATGATGTGGATAATGAAAGAACTTACCAAATTATCACTTATCAACTTGGATTCAAATTAAGTTTCCTTTTTTTTAAAGGAAAAGTTCAAGTTTCTGTGAGATAAGCAGCAGTGAAACTGAACCCGGATTGGATAGTTCAGAAAAGGCTGGGATGGAGAAGCGAGAATGGAACCCAAAAGGTCCCTGGGGTTTGGACAGAAGGACGAAATAGGCAATTCAGAAAGAACAAACACCAGTAGAAAAGGCTTTAAGACTTGAAAAAGGATGACACATCTAAAAAGCAACAGGTCAGTATTTGACCCTGGTTTTCGGGGCCCTCGGTTGAGTGTTCTTTTCTTTCCTTCACGGCCCTGGTACAATTCCACTCCATACTAGCAGCATCTGAGAGGCTTTCAGGCCATCTTCACCCTCTCAGCACTTGATCTTCTGTGTTAGCTTTTCATCACTGCGACCAAAATACCCGACAAAAACTTAAGAGGAGGAAAAGTTTGTTTTGGGCCTCATGGTACCAGATGTCTCAGTCCATGGTGTGGGCCTGAGGTGAGGCCGAATCTCATGGTAGAAGGGCATGTCTCAGCTCAGGGCAGCCAGGAAACAGAGAGGGGCAAAGGGAAAGGAACCAGAGACAAAATATTGACCCCAAAGGTACAGCCCCAGTGACCCACTTCCTCCGGCCACATCCCATCTGTCAAGTTACCATTCAGTAGCCCCTTCAGATATCAATAGATAGTTCAGCAAATGGATTAATCCACTTGTGAGATCAGATCCCTAATTATTCCCTATAAACGCCGCCTCTGAACCTTCCTGTATTAGGGATCATGCCTTCATAACATGAGTTTTTGAGAGAAATTCCAGTTCCAAATCACTACATTTTGCCATTCCATTGACATGTGTATCAGAGAAAGCTCTAACTATGCTGAGGATCTGTGGGTGGAAGTTCATACTAGAGTCAAAAGATTGGGCTTCCCATCTGGACCTCCAGCTGTAAACTCAACAGAAATTGTGTACACATATACACAGAAATATGTTCATAGTAGCCATAAATAACAAACAACAAAAATGTTGCCATATATTTATATAGTGGAATATTATACAGCTATGGATTTGAAGAAGTCAAAATTCATCTATTGTACATGCAACAATAGATGAATATCAAAGAGGCCTTGTTGAGCAAAAGAAACCAGAAATAAAAGAGAACATTTATATCAATTTATATAAATTTTAAAAACCTATAAAACTAATCATTGGTGATAGAATTCAGGACACTGGCCCCCTTGGGAATAGAGACTAGAAGTCGCACTTGTGATCTGGGTGGTAGTAGTATTCTATTCTTGATCTAGGTAGTGCATTCATAAATATGCCCAGTTTGTGAAATTGTGTTGGGTTAAACTCTTAGTGTTTGAACACTTTTCCCTAGATAACTTTTAGCTGTAAAAATGTTTACACAAATATCTGAGTTACTGCTGGGTTTTTATCCTGCTCTATTATTAACAGATATTTTTACCTTAGACAAATCCCAAAATCTCATGGAGCCCCAGGTTTCTCATTTATAAAATGAATGAGAACATCTGTCTGCCTTTTTCTCAAATTTTAGTGGAAATCAAATACCTTAATGAATGAAATTATTACTGGATTGATAGATGTAATCTCAGCCTGTGATGTCATTTTGAAAACTCAGACTCATTTAGTTGGCTTTCAATTATTCACTGCCTCATTATCTAGTCTGTGAGTGTTCTGAATGTCTGCTCTTCTCTTCTAAACTGTTTATCCATAGGAGAATTTTCAGCAGAAGATGCAGCAATAAGAGGAAAAGCAATTAACTTTTAATTTTTTTTTTACTTGGCACTGATTTTGATCGAGAAAGAGATGAAATAACGTTTTAAGAGTTTGTCTTGTAGTGTAAATTTTAGATTGTCATTGTGTATACTAACTTGAATCTCTACAAATTTATCTAGATTACTAAAAATACTTGCTATTATTGGCGATCTTATCATAGATCATGTAGGTATCACCTATATGTTATTAATATGTTTATAGATATGTGTGTGTGTATATATACATATATATATACATATATATGTATATATATAAATACATATATATTTATATATATAAATTATCTTATTGGAGCCTCACATGCAACCCATTCAATAAGCTTTGTTAAAACATTTTGCATTAAGAAATCAGATTCAGTCAGGCTACAGGAGTTCTTTTAAGTTACATAAGATGTGGCTTTGGTACCTGAGACTTTTTGCCTCCATAACTGCTTTTCATTCATGCAATTCCCTTCTGTTGGTTGTGCTCTTAGAGCACAGCTTTTCCATTTATGTTGCCCTCCTGAATGATCTGGATGGCTTGACCACTGGCAGCAGCTGCTTTACTAAGAAAACATCAATGCCAAATAGTCTATCATTTGCACATGACACAGTCTACATATAAAGATAATATGTGCAGTCTAGTTCCTTACCTCTTAACTATAGAAAATGCCTGATAGAAATTCTCTTTTATGGAAAAATCACAGCTTCAAAGCATTTAAAGTTTGCAGCAATTGGAATGAAAAGTAAAGAAGTCAGTCACTGATTACAAAAAAAGTTCTTGTGATCTGATCTTTTTCACAGGCATCTCAGTCTTCTGGGCTTCCCCCCTCCCCCTACCCCAATTTAGAACAGATCTTAGTCTTCCATCCCTAGACCCCAGTTCTCTGTCTAGGATTATAGGAGAACTTTGCACCAACTTCCATGAATTTAAAAAGAAACATGAACTTTGTCCCAAATAAAAGTGTACACAGTAGTCGATGAGGTTGAGGAACAGAGGGGATGGGGGCTTAGGGTGGAGTTTAAGGAAGCCTTAAGAAGAACCGGAAATATGGTGTGATAGGTTAGAATGAGTGCACTAAGGAGTCGCTGTGTTTGGTTTTCAGTAAGAAAACAAAGACAGAGCCTTTTCAGTCTTGCACAAATGAAAGAGGGCATTGGGTGTGAGGGTCTGCAGACAAGTGATTAGCAAAGAGATGTGATCAGGTTTTTGTCTTTGTATCGGTGCCGGGCTTGGATCAGCAGGGTCTTGATCTCATTCATTTTATGTAAGAGAAGCTAAAGCAAGAGACCATAATAAATGTGGTCGCTTCCTAGAGAGGTGTTCTATCCGACAGCTTCAGCCTTAACAGCAATGTCACCTTGCTGATAGAGGTGACGAGACTGAGGGCAGGGAGGGTGGTGTGGAAATGTGGAAAACTGAAAAACTGAAAAACTGGCTGGTCATAACTGCCGAAGAACAAACTTAGGGGATAGGAAAGGTAGCAGAATACAACAATTACTAATTGGGCATTATGTAAAATTGTGGATGTGTAACCGACGTGATTCTGCAATCTGCATTTGGGGTAAAATTGAGAGTTCATAACCCACTTCAATCTAATGTATGAAATACGATATGTCAAGAGCTTTGTAATGTTGTGAACAACCAATAAAAAAAATAAAAAATTAAAAAAATAAAAAGAATTTGGGCTACCTAACTTTGTTTTTCTTTTCTCTCCATTCTATGGTCACTAGAATCTTTTGTCTCGTCCATAAAAGAAAGGCAGAGGAGTGGGTAATCTCTGAGGTCCTTCGCAGCTCTGACAGCCTATGACTAATCCTTGCGTGGGAAAGCAGCCCTTTATACTGGATGTAATACCACATTGCCTATGGGGAGAAGGCTAGGCTGCAGCATGGAATTATGAATTTGACCTTTGAAATTTAAACTGTTTTGATTGTATTTTTACTGTTTTCCTAAGGGAACAGTTCCCATTGCTTTCGTATTTAGAAACTAAACATAGTTCTTAAAGCGAATTGGTGAAAATGACTATTATCCATCATTCAACACTGAGGTCTGTCTCAAGGGCTGGTTAGAGGGCATGTGGCCACTTGAGGCAGAGGGAATGAAGGAGAGGAAGTTTATTATGCCAAGTACAGTGCCCACCAGAAATCTCTGGAAACCCAGCCTCTTGAGTTCAATGGGATTTGGAACCACTTGGTGTTTGAAATAATTCACTCTTGCCTAAAGGTATAAAAAATATCTTTCCAATTTTCCCCTTGAAATATTACCAGCCATCCTAGACATTTTTAAAAAATATAAGTATTTGGATGTATTATATTTTAAAAGGAGTCAGCAAGATTCAGCTTACATTTGCCTTAAGGCTTTGTGACTTTAAGTTTGCAGTCAATTTGAAAAACAGTTTGGAATATCTGTTAAACTTTGAGCACAGTGAAATTTACCCATCTCTCTTTTTGAAACTATAAACAATCCTGAAATTTTGATAAAAAGCCAATAAATTGGCTCCTAGGAAAAATGCAAACCCATATCCATATTTCTCAATGCTTCTGGCAAGTGAGGCAGTTCTACTTTGGACCCATAAAATGAACAGAGCCACAGTTCCAAAATCCATTTTCTGGAGGAACTTAGAATTCTTTAGTTTTTTTTTTTTAATTTTTAAAATTGTTTTGTAGTTGCAGTTGAACAGTATGTCTTTATTTTACTTATTTTTTTTTTATGTGATGCTGAGGATCAAACTCAGTGTTTCACACATGCTAGGCAAGCGCTCTACCACTGAGCTACAACCCCAGCCCTGAATTCTTAGTTCTTAATGGCTTAGAGGAAAGCCATTTCCTCTAATGGCTATTTGAATCATGGGGGGTTGACTTAAAGACTGGCCATTTCCATATTGTGCTTAATAAATGAATTTTTTTCAATCAAGAACTCTGTGAATTGGCAAATATTGATAGAAATATTTATTGAATATTATAAATATTATATTTATTGATTTCTTCAGCTTGTATTTCCAGTAGATCCCCTACATATAGACTTAGCACAGTGACTTATATCACAGTAAAGGTGGTTCTATTTCTTTTTGCTTTTAAATGACTTAATGTGAATGAAAGTTAAGGCCACTTTGGACACATCCATGATCTTTGGTTAAGTTCCTAGGAAGATTCTGGAAAAGATATTTGTGAGCAGAAAGTTTACAGAGAGATACTCTCAACATCTTACAAAGCAACATCTTTGATGGGTGAAAGAAGCAAGGGTAAGCATGATATCATCACAACAAAAGCCTTGGTTACAGAGCTGGGATAGTTTTTTGGTTTTGTTCTAGATTGAAGCAATGGAGCCAGTCCTGGGCATAGGACTGCTCTTGGGTAGAGAGGGCATGTATTTAAGTGACACAGAACTTTTGACCAAGGGAAGTTTCTGGTAATCAATCAATTTTATGAGCTGATAGTAGATAACAATCCTGACAGATAGAGACAATCCTGACAGATGGAAAGGAGAATTTAGCCTTCAGACAATGAGGATTCACAACAGTTCACCCCTTGTATTGCTCAGATCCACTTGCTCATGTAGAAAGTTCACCGCTGAGCTGGGGATGTAGTTCAGTGGTAGAACACTTGCCTAGCATGTGTGAGACCCAGAGTTTGCTCCCCAGTATCACACAAAGAAAATAAAAAACAGTTCCCTCAATCAGTTCGTCATTTTACCTGGAGAAATTTACAAGAAGATCATTGACATAAAGATCTTGCCCTTGTTCGTGCAGTTAGCTTAAAGAGCTCAGCTGATATTCACTACCTCCCACTTTCACCAACATAATCCTTTCCTGTTCTAGATGACTTGATTATTTGAGGCCTCCCAGACTCTCATCCATAAAGGGTCTGTGCCCTTCTCATGTGCCTTTGCAGATTTCAGCTGTTGCATTTGTGAATTTAACATCAAGATTGTATAGGAGATGTTCCAAAGGATCACTTTCATGTAGGGCTCCCTGTCCCAGTAGGAGACCTATCTTCACTTGATTATCAAAATCAGTTATTTCCACCAGGATGGTAATTCCTTTCCTAGCTTGCTGGGCTTTTGGTATAGGAGTAATTTACAGTTTAATAGAACACTCCTGTGTTCTTGGTGGACACATTGCTCACATAGGATTTGGCACTTCTAAACCAAGAACACCCAGAATTGCAGAGAAGCACAAAATCTTCCAGTGGAAACCAGGGAGCAGAACTCTGCACACCTACACAATCTACCTATTGGAAACACAATATCATATGACAATCATTAGTTTAAAGTGTACTTTGCACAGAGTATCATCTTCATGCTGGCTTCTGATCTCTGTTGAAAGGTCATTGATCATGATCTAGCTGGCAACTTGTGTGCGTATGTGAATCCCATGGCCATATAACCACTGCTGCAAATCTGCTGTTTATTTTTTTGTGAGCAGGACTCGTGATTTCTAACTTTCTATGAGAAGAGTTGTGACTCATCAGCAGAAGATGTTAGACTCATAACATGTAGACGCACAGGACTATTAAAAAAATGAAAGAGAACAAAATAACAGAGAAGAAGAATGATGAAAGAAATGAGAAAATAGTAGCCCTACAATTTGTGATATTCAGGACGTGACTGCTTCCCTTTGAAAATGGTGGGCAATTTTACAAAACAAAGCTAATGAACAGCTTTTGGGTTGTCCAGAAAGCTTTGTTATTTGATGGTGTTTGTGTGGTTTGCGTGCGCTCGCTCTCTCTCTCTCTCTCTCTCTCTCTCTCTCTCTCTCTCTCTCTCTCT